ATATAATATATACATTAAACGTAACGTGGAATAACATAATTTTCATTATAAATATTTTTATGGGAACTTATTGGTAAAGGATTGCTCAGCTCTTCAATATAGACATATGTTTTCGTTCCTGAAAATCTTATTTCATAACCTCGAATATGTTCGTTAAACCCTAGAGTTATCAAAGTCTCATAATATAATATCACAATATTGTTACACACAATGACAGTATCAATAGAACCAAATAATGGGCCAGAATCACTTTCATCAATCACAACAATTAACTTTTCATGGAAACTAGTTNCTTTATATTGAATCCACTTTGGAATTATCAAATTAGGATTCTGTTTAATATTATCAGGTAAACAAGCAACAATTTTGTCTAATTCAGATTTGTCGATATTTTTTATGGGTCCAATTAAAAGAGTTTGTAAAATTGAAAATAAACTTTGAAATCTATAGCACATATGCAATTGATGTTGAACAGCAACTGAATAAGCCTTATTTTTTTTACAAGAATTTACAAAAGCCGACTTTTTTAAAAATTTATGTTTTGCTTCGAATTTAAAGCATGAAAATTGACTCATAGGTCCAAAACTTGCCATAAAAGCAAGATAATGAACAAGGTGATGATACTTNGGTTTCAAATTGTTATTTGTTAGTTTTAAATATACCTTATGATGTTCATTAATAAGCACTNGCAAAATATTCGGATAATTTATGTGGTTACTTTTTGCAAAANCAATATCAAGAATTTCTCTCAGTAGTTTGTATAATAACCAAAATGAATCATTTTCAGGTACTAGATCACCAATCAAGAGACCAAAGTATTTTACAAAACATAGTGTTTGAGTTGCACTCATTTTCAATGTCAAATTATCTAAATATTTTTGAATAATGTAAGGTGGTTCAGAAGACTTATCAATAGACCCATAATCAAATACAGACATTCGATCATTAAGTTGATCAAGAGTGAAATAATGACATTCTATACAGTGTTTGATTATGTAACACATATCATAATGACAAATTCCTTCAGCAAGATCATGCATCGGATCTAAAGCAGAATTCCTAGTTACATGAAAATTTTTCAAGTCACTAAAGATACTTTTTTCCTTTATCCCTGTTAATGTTTCATTATTTGTAATTATATCTTCTTCGTAATTTTCTCGATTTCGCTGATATAATATGTCATCTTTACATTGTAGTTGCATGTTTTGTTTTACATTTTTACAAATTCTACAATAATAATGAGCATTAAAACTTTCCACAAACCCAAAAATTGAATTAATTCCTAAATTATCACCAGTACAAAATTCAGTACTAAAATAAACAGTTTTTTTTTCCCCCGTTTTTAGTTGTTACTACAATTCCTTCATTTGCCAAAGAATTAAATTCTTCAATTAAAGGAGCAAATGTTTTCTTATTACCATGAATTTTTCTATTTACGCTTTCAAAAATTAATACAAGANAAATATTGTCCGAAGTAAACTGACATTCAGGTGGAAGACAAAGTAATGACGCATAAATTACTCCTAGTTTACCTGTCTTTGGACCTAGTGGATTATTTGATTCAAAGTCATCAAAATAAAATATTAAAGGTAAAACAATATCATCTGATTTATAAAGTGACATTTTTTTTCCATATATCAGTTTGTATATAATTATATATTCTATCGGAAACATTTGTTTGTNAGAAACGCATATATGAAAGTATATCCTTCAAAGCATTAGGAATTTGAAAAAACAACTCTAATGTACGCCTCAATGAAATAAATTGTCCACTGTCACTGACATTTGTTTCAATATCATGTCCGATTATATACGGTTGTGGAGCAACATATTGTTTACTTTGAGTAAAGTATTTAATTCTACGATATTCTGTTGACATTACTTCAAAAGATTTCTTATAATTTTGACATATTGATTGAATTTTATGCACAAAATCAGCATTATTGTCTAAACTTGGAGTAGAATTGATGCACTCTTCAATTTGTTTAAGACAGTCATTAAAAAAAAAGCTTTTGAATATCTTGATATAAATTTTGAACGTGATTACGAGGAAGACCATAATTAGATGAAAGCTTCGCGAAAAAAGAAGCAATGTTATCCATTGCATTATCTTGCATATCAGGAATCTTGTCTTTCGATAAAATTGTAGCTTGCAATAAATCACAGTTAACAATTTGAATAATATTATTATCATTATGACTTTCAAAGTTATTTAAAAGATTAACACAACCTACGTTTTTATCTTGAGTGATAGACTTTTGTGATTCTCGATTGTAATGATGTAAGTTCAAATGTCTTTTTAAGGATTCAAATGTATCGAACTTTTGTTTGTGACAATCACTTTCAACACATTCATAAAACTCTAATTGTGATTGATGTTTATATTCAAAATGAATATACAAAAGTTTAATAGTTTTTAATATTTCTTTGCATATAAAACAAGTCGGCATTTTTTCAAATTAAATGAAATAAAAACTTGTTACACAAGAAACTACAGTCTTCAAAATATGTATATATATAGTTTCTTTTTAATCACTCAAAATAAAATTAATCAATTAAGAATTTTATCAATTATACATATAAAACTAAAAAGACTTTTCAAAAAGACATGTTCCTTAGAAGGAAAAATTTTTATATTCCTTTACTAAAGTGCTAACTGCACTAAATTTCTTGTCATATTTTGTAGTTATATTATAGATACCTGTCTGTAAAAAAAGATAAACTTGTTCACTTTCTTTGGGATATTCAGCGTGCAGACTATGAATACATTTTATAGCTATATCAATAGCTTTCAATGGAGTTTCTATTTCATAATACATTGTATCAACAATTACAAAACTACGTTTAATGTCAGTATCTGAGGATCCTACGATAACCGCTTGTGGTTGCAATGTCAAGTTGAAAGATTTTAATTTTTCTCTTCTTTCATTAATTTTAGTCTTTAAGTCACCATATGTCTAAAACACAATAAAGTAAATAAGAAATCCGCATAAATAAAAGATTAAAAGATATAAAAACAATTAAATAAAAAAATATCTAAAGAAAATCTATACATATATTAATATATTGTACTTATAAGTGGAAT